CCCTTTCCTGTCTGTCTCCAGCTGTCCTATCAAATAAAGGCAATAAAAGCCGAAAAAAAATATACTTTAAAAAATAAAAAATAAAAAGCACTAATGCCCTATGTCAAAATACTATTACTATACCATTATACATTCCTTTTATAACATAACATTTTTTATTAAATTGAGTGATGATAAATAGACAAGATTTCAATATACCGTACTCAGAAATGCAGTAAAATAGAAGTCAGTCAGTAAGTAGTAGCCTAATATATGACAATCAGAATGAACTGACTTTTTTTTAATGGCAGATATTTTGACATGTCATAGCAGGAAAAGCAGAGGTGCAAATAAAATCATATAATAGTGGACCTATCCCATTTTGGTTCAGCAGTTTCGGGGCCCTGCTGTTGTTTATACTGGCACTCTGACATGGTTAACTGGGTCACTGAGAGACGAAATGCTGCCCTCATTAAGCTAGCTGGTACATGTGCACCTCTAGCCCAGAAAATACCTGATATGTCACTGTTAATTGCACTGCCAGACACTATCCAATCCAGCCTTGGTTTAAAAGCTGAGCAGGTTCATAAATGACTCTTTCTGTTAGGGTTACCAGTGTACACACGGTTCACTCTGCAGCTCAGATTTCTGTTAATCTGAGTGTTACAATCACAGTTAAGGACCTGCTATAATTTAAGGCCAAGCCTTGATGAACAACCAATAGTTCTCCCTCTATCATCTCCCCTGGTAGACTTTGTTAGCTAGCTTCTTCGCATCTCTTATCCACCAAACTGGCTGGTACATCAGTGGCAAGACAGCAAGGCTAAGACATCATCGTCAAGCTAAGCCAATCAGAGGCCGAGGAGGGCAGCGTCATACCTAGGATGTAAATTAGCTAGCTAGTTAGCAAGCGTTTTGCTAACATTAGCTATCTTAAGATGTGGCCATAGGAAAGGAGAAAGTTGACAGAGGTTCTGACTGAAGCTCACTCAACTGTTATTTGAGCACAGAGCAAAAAGGGGCGGGACTTGGGGAGGAAGTGTCAATTGACCATTGAAGGCTCTTTCTTTAGCAGCAGTTCAGCTGAGTTCACAACATTTCTCACTCTGTTTTTCCAGTTCAGGTTTTCACAAAGAAAAAAGCACAGCTAATAAATGAAGCACAATTATAAGCCAGGCTTCCCTGCTGTGACCCAGTTTCTCTTTATAGAACCTCCCATCAATAACAGTGCATACCCCCATACACACACACACACTTGTGGCCTGCTTGAGGTCTACCGTTGCTCATTAGGATAACATTAGTGCACCCTAACATAGTACAGCAGGCTCTGTCAAACAGCACTGATAATCATTATGGTGTATATGTGTGTGTGTGTGTGGGTGTGTGTGTGTGTCTAACAGAATCAACAGAGTGCTTCAGATAGCTTGCTAGATTAGTGTGTAGGACACCAGACTGTGTCCACTTCACTTGCATATGTGAGTAACTACATGGCCTCTGACAGGCAGGTAACACACACGCAGGGGCAAAAAGCTTAATACATTTCTATGTGCCATCCTACTACAGGTTAGTTTTTCTGTCCCAGTTTTCTTAAAATGCAATTAAATACCTGTTTCACGATTATTTGGCTAGTTTTTCACTACGACATGATATTTTCATGCTGTATTAAAACCACCATTTTCTTGCCAAGAAGATCCATCTCAGGGCTCATTTTAATGTGAAAGACTGTCTGTCATGGCTGCCACCAGCTCGTGTCAGCAATGACAAGCTAAGGCCATGGTACCTCTAACAAATAACAGTTCTTTGTATTTATTGTTGGTAAGTCTAGGCTGCCCTCTACTGGTAAACGATGAAATGCAATACATCTCTTTACTTTGTTTTCTGTGTTGTGCGAAAGAGACCGTTCCCTGTTGTAAGGTATGTTTTTATTAATTGTCTGTAGTAAGAATATTTGAAGAAAATACCAAATGTGAGCTTGACAGCTGCCACCTTTCTGCAAAAACAACAATTATTACATTATTAACAAGCCCAGGAGTGTTTCATCCTTTCCTTTCACACACAGAACTCCAAATATTTGTGATGGGGCAGCTGGAGGACCTACCAGGAGAGTTCTGTGGTGAGGAGGCGGGGGAGCAGCGGGGAGAGAAGCTGAAGCCGGGGTGGATGGGGTGGGGCGGGACATACGACATGATTTCCTCTTCATATAAACTACAAAGGACACGGAAAAGCATAGAAGACATTATTTCTCGGCACCACCTGGAGAGTTAGTTTAATTGTGTGAATTCAGTAATCTGAGACTTCCCTACTGCTGGGTTTAGGGTGTTCTTTACCTTAACAGGATGACTAGGTCTGCATCACACGACAGCTTCTCCACCCCCTGAGTCCCTTCGGTCCGAATGTAATGGATTTTCTCCCTGGACAGTCGACAAGACAAAGCCCTTATCAGTTTATCAATTAATGATTTGAATTCAAATTGTAAACAGAATTGAATATTTGCTACTAAGACACATTAAGTTGTGTGATAAAGAGGAGAAAGATGAAGAGCATTGATAATGTCTATAGCACTTTTTGAACACAGCACCAGCAAACACAAAGATGGAATTAAGTAGTAAAAATTGACATTGACAAACATCTTCAGTGGTCTAAATCAGACTGTTGAAGCATCACATTAGTTTCAGATATGCATTGTGGACTGGGATGCCTCACAAAATACAGTATATATGCACAGCGGTGCTAAAAATCAAAGAAGACTGAATCAAAGCATACCTCAGTGCGTGGTTTCTGCTTAGGCTGGGCTGTCGCTCCTGCAACATGTCAAATATGTTGGGCTGTCGAAGGAACGCCACTATCTTGTCATTGTAAGCTAGTGAGAGAGAGACAGGAGCAGTCAGATATGAACACAGCCAGAGTAAGACTTCAAACAATGCATTAGGTTGACCGTGGCATCCAATCAATGATGAAATGTTCTGAGAGTGCCTACACGGGGCGGTCAGCTGTTGTGAGTCAGCAGCATGATGCTGGCTTCGTATGGCGGCTACCAGGCTGTTTCCAGGCCGGGCCATCAGAGAGGCTCCACGACTCCTGGACACATCAGAGGCCTGGGGACAAACACCAACAGGACACAGTTTTCACAGAGAGACAGCAGTTCATGTAAAATCACTGACACTACACTTCTAGTTCTCCTCCCTTCCCCCCATAATGCTTTGAAGCGTGTAAACAGAAAGTATAATGGATTCAGTGAGTCATGCCATTTTTGAGCATATTTTTCTTTTGGTAAACTGGCACCATTAAAAGTATTTTAGTAGTAAGTTAATTTGACACTGAAGAAAATGTAAATCCTGATGACAATTAAATGATTAGTTGAATTAATTAATTGTTTTGAGTGCTTCTTTAAGAAAATATTTCCAAATTCTCTGATTTCAGCGTCACTAATGTGAATATTTTTCATTTCTTTTTCGTTGATTTCTATGTGGATTTATGGAGGTTTATTTACAGTGGGCGTCACTGAACAACGATATCGTTGGGAAATGTAAGTCGCACTGATTGAAAAATATTTGTATCATGTCAAGTACCTAGATTGCCTCCGTGAGCTGTGTGCCACAGCCACTGCTGCGGCTCCATGTTGATAAGGGATCAAATAGAACTACCCGGGCCATTGTTTAGTTTATCTTCGGACAGCTATTTACTTATGATCATTTCTACTCTGATGAATCTGATATTAGGATATTAGCAGGACACAGTCACCTAACCATCAGTATAAAGTAAATGCATCTGAAGTGCTAACAATGTCTCACTCCCAAATTGCCAAATACTGCCACTTGGCCAGTTGTTAATTACCAAAGCTTTATTTTAACCAGACACTGCAGTTTTATTCTTGATAACTTGCGGAGCCCTGCACATTCAGAAATGGTGCGAGAGGGATACCTAATATTTTCATATTTTGAAGCAGTGTTTGAAGAGTTGGGTGTGACAAGGTGTTGGATGTGCACATTATCTAGCATTGCGGGTGTCACTGCACATTAGCATTCAAGCTGAACGTTTTGTTAATTTTGACTCATTCCCACATACACAGTACTGCAGCCAGAAATAGTCCAAAGCACCAGATGTGGATTAATCCGCTGCAGTAAATAGTACCGAACAAATACACCATTTCCTCCTATTTTAGTAATGTTTAATAAGAACTACAGTGCCCAGCCGTTTTAGGAAATAACTGAAACTAATAATAGAACTACATATTAGTGAGCTGTTTAATTGGATTTATGTCTTCAGGAGGAACCAATGGGCTTGTGGCTGAGTGCCATACGAGTGCATGGAGAGCATCTCCAACTACATTAAATGTGCTGCTTTTAATGCTACTAATAAATCTGTATTGATAGCACAGGTGTGTGTGTGAGTACCTCCCCAGCGCTGTAGCTGCGTAGTCTCTGCAGATGTTGCCTGTGGGCAAGGTGGCCGGGCAGCCGGCCGTTCTGCAGAGGAATGCGAGGGTCAATGAAGGTGGTGGCTCGACTGTTGTGGTCCACAAAGAAAGACTGAGAAACAGAAACCATAGAGAGATTTTAAATGTTCCTCCACATTAGAACACATTGGCTTCTGAATCACATTTGTATAGAAATAAATCTTTTTAATATAATTGTATTCATTTTATTATTATTAGCCATTTTTCTTCATTATTTCAGTATTATATACTCCATTCTCCATTTCCCCTCCATACATACATCTGCAAATCAATTCACACACATCTTCATTTCCTCAAAACTATACTCAACCTGAACTTATAACATGGCAGATTGCTGAATCATAAATCCTCCTTCCCTCTGTAATAGCCGTGCTTTCCGTTTCCTCCCAATATATTATTTTTTTAACGGAAACTTTAAGTGTACACAATGGGCCTGATGCAAGAACTACTGGTACAAGCAGATGTGTTCTCATGTGGCACGTAAGGAGTGGTTCAAGAGAATTTGTGACATCGTGACATCAATTTCCTTGTACTATGAACAAAACTGACAAGTGGTCCAGTCATGATTAGACCTGCCTTTTTTCCACTTAAGAATCATAATGCCTTAAGCTGAATGATTTTGGAGCTTAAATATGAAACCAAATCACTAAAATCAAAAATATAACTAAAGCAGAGTTAATGCAAAATTAATATTCTATTCACCAGATCATAATCTTTATCGTGGCTGCCAATTTACTCGGAGGTTTTGACTTATTGATTGTACTGGTGTATTCTGGCACAGCAACCTCTACAGTTCACTTGTATGAGGCACCATATCTTGTTGTATATCTATTTAGTGTTTGTAAAAGTTGAAATTAAACAAAAGAACAAAATTGCTTTTTAATCTTTAATGTGCATTTGCTGGTTTCAGATTCTGGCCTTTAAACACAAAATATGTAATTTCAGCTGCACATGACAGACTCTGACCTTCTCTAAGGTTCATTCACACTGCTTAAAACAACATCATCAAACATCTGAATGACGATCAGTCCAGTGCTTTGTTCATTTAGCTTTGCTAGCATTTCCAAGTATGACACAGTTGTGACTGTAAAGTATCGACATCCACCCCCTCATTAAAGGGTCCTTCTACATTATGAAGCCTACCTTGCCCTGGGGGTCAGTCTTGATCTCCCAGCCTCGTGGCAGCTCCAGCTGAGTGTCTGCAAACTTGTTGAGGAAAACCACCAGGTCCCGGTTATGTTGGTAGCGCTCAAAGTTCCTGGCATCGCGACGCACCTTCAGGATCATGTGTTTCACGCAGCTGCTGCTAGTGAACATCCGGTAGGCGGCCTGGAGACACAGACCCACAGGTTTACTTTTACATTTAGAAATATTAACAAAGTGTTGTGTACTTTTGGCTATGCATGCCAGACAAAGAAAGTTTGATCAGTATCATGTTGTGTTTTTTTTTTTCATGTTATAATAAAATATTTTCACAATACTAGTAGTAAAAGTATTCCCTTTATAACAACACACTTATCTTGTTAAAACATGATAACTTCTCTCTACTGTGTCTGTGGCTCTTAGCTCCAAGCCTGTTCATTTATACTGAAGATATAAATCTTTAAAAACAACTCACAAACCTGATGTTTCATTTTATTTAAAAGGCTGAGTAATTTCCTAAAACAGCTGGCCACTTTAGTTTTTTACTTTACTCAAACAGGAGGAAATAGTGCATTTGTTTGGGATTATTTTCAGCAGTGGATTAAGCAAGACGGTGTATGTAGCATTGAGTCAAAATACACAACAGTGTTTGTGTGTGTTCATGGTAATGAACTGGAACATTTTATAGTTTAACAACTATAAAGCTCGAATTTAGCACAATGTACTGTATATAGGAAAAGCTGTGTGTGTGTGTGTGTGTGTGTGTACTCACATAGTTACTGTGCAACACTGTGAAGAATTCTGGGTGTGTGATGAACTTGACAGCAGGTGATTGGAGGAGATGGCTGATCTTCTGGTGATTGACAGGGGAGGCGGGGCCTGCAGACAGACAGCGGGTGACTCACTTTTTCTGTTATTTTTTAAGCAGTTTACTGAAGTAGGTTTTGAGTGAGGTATTATTTACGATTAATGAATAAATTAATTCATATCATAAATGACATTACAGTAAGATAAAGTGCTATAAAGTAATATAAACCATTGCAAATGACAATGATACAAAATAGAAGGAGTACTTATGACTGAGGACGGTGAAAACAAGTCAATAGTCCCACAAATGAGCATGAACACGATCCAGAACAACACAGATCACACATGATCTCTGAAGACTTTAAACTGTGGAGGAGGCTGAGCGCTGCACCTGTCTGTGGAGCATCCGAATCAGTCTCTGTACTGCCACTCCGCTCTAACCTCTGACTCCCACCATCCTCCTCTGTGGCCATGGTCCTCTGGATGTTCTGGTACCTGTAGGAAAAACACCAAAAAAGGCACATCCTTTCTCTATTGCCTTGTTTCAGCACTTTTTAATTCAAAATGATTATTTGGTTGACAAAAACACAACCAAAACCAATATACAGATGTACACTGAATAATAAAGACTTAAGAAACACACCTGAATACCAAATACCAAAATGAATTTGGTATTCAGGTGTGTTTCTTTAGTATATAGTAAAGGATATAGTGCATTTGAATCTGAAAAGTTAAATCCATCATATGATGTCAGAAACAATCCCTGTAACACTAAATCATCCGCTGTAACTAGACATGAGAAATTATTTATGACCCCCTGTCCCGCTGGAACAGTCTCTGGGTTCTGGGACTCGCTGATTTACAATTGAAGCCCCTTATTGATCAACACATCACAATGTACTTCAATCAAGATCTTTTACAGGCAAAAAAAAAAAACTAGGCCGGCTGCAACTTCACAGACGAATGCAGCACTGCCGTTCTTGGCTTTAATAGTTTTCCCAGTCTGACCTCCTGTTGAGTTGTTCCATCTGCTGGGTGGATCCTGAGCGGGGGATCCCGTGGTTACACTTCCCGCTGTGGCTCGGCCTCTGCCAGGTTGTGGTCCGGTTGACATGGTCCACATAGAAGACTCTGCCGTGGCTGTCAATACGAGCTTCCCAGTCTGTGGCAACAGAGGGTTGGGGTCGCAGATTTAGACATATGTCATGTTATGTTAAGTTACGTTATGTTAGCTAGTCCACTGTTGAAGAAAGTGTTTGTCAATCACATTTCAATTAGCTGGATGAAGCTCAAGAATGGATTTGTACTGGTTGGTACTGGCCAAAGTGTTATTTGCTCTTGTTATCAACCAATATTCATGCTGCCTTCTGCTTTTTGAGGCCCTTTTTTTTCTGTTGGCTTAAAATAAATCTTAATTTCTCGATCAATCTAACAATTGATTTTAGCTGTACACACAAAAAGA